AACAGTTGGTACTTCTGCAATGCAACCCCTACACTTAAGGCTCAGGGAACATCATGGAAGAGGGGCAGAAAGACTGTAAGAGCCAGGGACGATGAATGCCTACAACGAAGCAGTGTTTTCTAGACACATCAGGGCAGTTGCACGCATGAACTAACAGTGCCTATGACCACATGGACAAGCTATACAAAATCAAGCCAGACAAGTTTCCAGCATGGAGAGGGGGAGGTGGTCAGAGCTTCCCGACCCTATGTGATGAGCTATTGGCAGCCGATGGCTTCTGTAAGTTTTCTTGAGGAATGCAGCTCCGGAGAGGTTACCCATGCTCTACCTCCATGCACATGTTGGCAGTACTAAAGGGGACTGTGTGTAAGGGCACTGTGTGTGTCTTCTTAAAGAGAACACATGACACTGAAAGAGAACAGCTCTGGTGGGGGAAGAGGAAGAGTTGGAGGGATCAGATTGGGGGTGAACTTGATCCAAACACATTATATGTGTGTATGAAATTCTCAATCAATAAAAAAAAGGCTAGCTGGGCAGTGGCGGCACACACCTTTAATGCTAGCACTCTGGAGGCAGATAAAGGTGGATCTCTATGAGTTTGAGGCCAGCCTGGTCTACAGTGTGAGTTCCAGGTCAGCCAGGGCTACACAGAGAAATCCTGTCTCAAACAATCAAAATCAATCAAACAAACAAACAAAAGCTAGGAGTGCCTATCATCTGAGCACTAGGGAGGTGGAGAGAGAAGGAGTCCTGTGGCTTCCTAGTCAACCAGTCTAGCCAAAATAGTGAGCTCCAGGTTCAGTGAGAGACCACCTCAAAAAAATAAGGTGAAGAATAATTAAGGACAACACCCATCAACCTTTGGCATCCACACCTATGTACACATATTTGCATGTGTACAAATATGTACACATCATATATATGGAAGAATTAATCAGCATACTGGCCAATAAGCAAACAATATATGCATATTCATAAATGAGAAATATGTTTTTTCTGGGACTAAGTATCAGGTTACTCTCTGGGATTTTTAAAGAGAGGCAAGAGTTTTCCTATAATTCTGTCCCTTGGGCACACAATATATGTCATACAATGTATGTATGAATATAAAGAGATGGGCATTGTCCATTTCTTATTCCTATATGCATGCATTTGAGTAATTAATGAACAGCCATCTGGAAGTGCTGAGGATAGTCTATGATGTAATATGTGAGGAGTAGCCTATTCAACCCTACCCCTCTCCTGGTGTGTCTAGAATACTTCTTTTTATTGTTTGTGCATACAGAAACCACACAGGTCCAAGAACACTTGGAAACAGACACCAAAGGCAAATTAAAACAAAAGCAATGTGTTAAAAATGCAATCATGCTTCAACAATAAAACTCTGGACTGTAGTTATATCTAGGTGGTATAGCATAAACCCAGCATATATAAGGCTCCAGGCTTGAATTCCAGTATGCAAAGAAAGTTAAAATAAATAAAACTGAAAATGTGATATGGGTGTCATTCACTTCCCAAGAGAGCAAAGCTGTGTGTTTCCTTCCTTTTAAATTGAAAAGTGCACATTATTTTCAAGGAAACTTAGTTTTAAAATTAGGACAGAAGTTGATTACATAATATGAATTTCAGCATGCAATTCAACTGAGAAATGAAATTTTAAACAATGACCAGTACTTCTGGGAATTTGCGGACATAGAACTGCTTTAGTTTTTGGTAAAGTTATGAAATCGTTTGTATAAGGACTAAAACTTCCATTTGGGGCTCATAACTCTCATTAAGCAATAATCACAAAGCCTATTACAACTATTTTTTTCTTTAGTTGGGCACTGAAGATAGCAAATCCTTTTTTTTTAATCACAAACTCCTAAAAGATCCAGGATCACATTTAATTGGATACCATTGTCGTAAATACACAAATCATTCATAAAATAAAAGCCCTCAGCTTAACACCCCAGTGCTGACAGATGGTTAAGAGCACCCACTGTTGTGAGGATCAGGACAAGTAAGTTCTACATTCGCAAATTAAAACGCCATCCAAACATTTGCTTCCAATGGCATTTAGGGAGCAGAAACAACACAAGTCGTCAGAGAAAACTGTGTCAAATGAAAACTCGAAATGTTAAATTAGAGACACTCAAATAAATACTAATTTCCTTTTGGCAAATGAACTTTGCACAAAGACTTTCCAAAAGCACTTCATGGAGGCCCAGGCGATACATAACTGAATGTAATGAAGATGAGCAGGTAAAATTAAAAGCCAGACTGGGCTCAGTCTTGGCTGGAGAAAGCCGTTAGGGGACGCGGATGGTGACCATAAAACTTCAAGTGGCCAGGCAAATAACTCATTTGAGATTATACACTCAGTAAACACTGGAAGGGACATTGATAAAAACAAGACCAAATCTAAATTAAACACATTCAAATGACTACAGTGTCACACACCCCCAAATGCCATTTTATTACAAAATAACATGAGCAATTAGACCTCTGTATACTTCCTCCCCTTCAGGGTCTTAAAGTCGCCAGCCCTTGCCAAGCAGTTCACTGTGTTCCATGTTCATAAAGTATAAGTAACAACAAACTTGTTCAAGAGCACTCTTGGCTGAAGACACAGACATTAAATATACAAGAACATTAAAATAAAAATTCAGGACTGCAGAGATGGCTTGTTGGTTAGCACTGGCCACTCTTCCTGACGATCTGGGTTTGATTCCCAAGATCTACACTCACAACACTCACAAATGGCTCTAACTCCAGGATATCAGGAGGTCTGATGCCCTCTTTTGGCCTCTGTGGACAATGCAGGCATGTGGTCCACAGACGTAAATGCAGGCATGTGGTCCACAGACGTAAATGCAGGTAAAACGTTCATTCACATAAAATCATAAAAATAAAATAAATCTTAAAAAATAAAATAAAAACAAAGATGAGAAATCACAAAGAATTCAATGATGTCTGCCAAGGCACTTGTACTTTTTGGAGCATGAGATGGGTGCCTGTTTCCTTATCTTCATATTGAAATTATAAGGAAACTTTTCTCTTAGAGAACCTTGCCAGGCGGTGGCGTATGCCCTTAATCCCAGCAAACGGGAGGCAGAGGCAGGTGGATCTCTGTGAGTTCGAGGCCAGCCTGGGCTACAGAGTGAGTTCCAGGACAGGCTCCAAAGCTACACAGAGAAACTCTGTCTCGAAAAACCAAGAGAGAGAGAGAGAGAGAGAGAGAGAGAGAGAGAGAGAGAGAGAGAGAGAGAGAGAGAGAGAGAGAGAGCAAGAGAGAGAGAGAGAACTTCATACTGTAAGAATTTAGCTGACCTTAACACCTAGAGAAACTTTATTGAATTCCAGGGAGGTGGCATTTCAAGTTCTGGCCAAACTATAATCGGGGCACAGGACCCAGTCACTCAGTGACCTGAGCTCAAAAGAATGAAGATTATATGTTTCAAGCTGGGGATAGGGAAGGAGGAAGGGAATTTGCTTGGGGCAGAATGGGGGAATTAGCTGTTTTCCTTAGACAAGCTGTTTTTCGAGTGAGGGTCTGTTGTTTATTTTTCCACACTGGGTGTCTCAGATCAAGGTTAGCAGCTTTTCCTCTGCAGTTTCCAAACAGCTGGCTTCCAGAACTTTGAGCTCTAGGACTTCGGTGTGTGTGTGTGGTTTTTTCTTTTTTTCTTTTTTTCTTTTTTTTGTGGGGACAGGGCGTGTTCTTTTGCAGGTTACTATCAAACACATGATCCTCTTGCCTTTGCCATCCAACAACTGGGATGTTGCAAGCTTTAAGAGGAAGGCTGGAGATCCAGAGGCTCTTAGAATGCTCCAAGAGGACATAAGCACAGATACAAGGCAGGGGTCTGGGGAAGGCAGTGATGGGAGGCTCAGGAAAAGCACGGAAGTCTGGGGAGAAGACAGGAGGCTTAGGGTGAAGGGAGCAGGCTACAGGAAGATCTGCAGTTCATGGGAGGGTAAAAGACATCAGGAGAAGACATACAAGAAGGCAAGAGGTTAGGAATGAGGATACCAGGCTCGGAGCAGGAAGGATGGCAGCTGGGAAGGAGGAGGAATCTGGGCAGCAGGGTAAGATGCCTCGAAGAAAGGTAGGAGGCTCCGAGCACTGAAGGCTGGTGAGATCACATGGCTAAAGGAGATGGTTAGAGGCTAGAGAAAGACAGAAGTCATGGGAGCAGGGCAAGAAGATAAGGCAGAGGAATGCAGGGGACAGATGAGATAAGTTGGGAAGGAATGCAGGCATCCAGGGGAGAACAGGGGAATCAGGGAATAGGGCAGGAGACTAAAGGCTGAGTCATTGATGAGCAAAAGGTCACAGAGCTGGGAGAAGGCATAAGGACAGTGGGAAGATGAGGTGGTTAAGGTAGATGTGAAGAGGCTGAAGAAAGGCAAAAGGCTGGAGACGAAGACCAGAGGATGGGTGAAAGCAGGAGAGTCAGGGGAAATGGAGAACAATAAGTTTGGAGAGGTAAGAAGGGTAGAGGGTTTTAGAAGGTGCTAGCACCCTGGCCCACCTGCTGCTTAGCCAAGCTTGGAAACTGAAAAGGTAGGCGAGGCTCTCCCGTGTTCCCTGCTGGTGGTTCCATGATTGGGTATTGGGCGGCCATGACATCTTGGAGGGCCAGCTCATCACCAACACACAGACAGGAAGCCCCTCCCACGCACCTTCCAGGTCTCAAGTCCGTTTTGTTTTTTTTTTTTGTAAAAGCCATCTGAGATGTAACCTGAACCCTGAATGGGAGAGGATTGGGCCAGTGAGCCACCAGGAAGGTCCCATGAGGGGTAAAGATTTGTCCATTGATCCTTACCTGTTGGGTGGTCAGAAAAAAAGGACAGTTCTTTTCCGAACCAAACCTCAGGTCTGTCCCCTTCTTTGCATGGAGACCCAAGGATAGTCTCTGCAGCTCTGAACAGCCCTTCTCCAAACTGCTCCTGCACTGTTGGGGATCGGGCAGGGTCTGTCCTCTGCCTGCTCCTCCTGCCCTCCCTCTTGCTCCCCTAACCCCGTCTGAGGGCATTCCTCAGGCTCTGCATCTGCAGACAGGAAAGAACAGGAACTATTCCTCCCTGTCTGCCCAGGCTCCCTGCAGCACCTGCGATCACACTCTCCAGACCCAGAAGCCCATCTACCAGCCATGAGCAGCCTGGCAGCTGTGTACCACAGGATCTGGGGAAGTGGTAAGGACTCCAGGAGTTAGCCGGGCGGTGGTGGCACACGCCTTTAATCCCAGCACTCGGGAGGCAGAGCCAGGCAGATCTCTGTGAGTTCGAGGTCAGCCTGGTCTCCAAAGTGAGTTCCAGGACAGGCACCAAACTACACAGAGAAACCCTGTCTCAAAAAAACCAAAAAAACAAAAAACAAAACAAAACAAAAAAACCTCCAGGAGCAGGCAGCTGCTGTCAGGATAGGGTAGAGAAGGAGAGTGCACAGGAGGCCAGCTCTGAAGTCTCCCTCTTTTTTATTTCAGGTCTTGCTCTTCTAGGTGATGGCTCACCACTTCTGAGATCATTTCAAGATGGATCCCTACATAGAGATGCAGTTCCTGTAGCAGCCGGGGGAGCAGCCGAGTGAAGAGCCTACCTAGAAGAGGAAAGGCCCTTCTGGTAGAGGCCTAGAGGGGTGGCGTGGCTTGGGTCTTCTGGCCCTTCCATAGAAAAGATGCCAGTGTACCTTGGGCACTGATATCTCCTAGCAACACTGTGAGGGAGAGGTATTCTCCCACCTCAGGAACTCAGCAGGGCTCAATGCAAGGCGTGGGATTTGCCCTTGTTACACAGAATAGTGGGGAGCTCAGCCTGCCCTGGACCTCCATTCCCCCACCTCCTCTGCAGTCTTCTTTGTGACCTGGCAGGACATTGGGGTTGGGAGGGAGTAGAGAGCTGCCAGGGGACCTAGGGAGAAAGAGAGACCATGGGGTAGGGAAGCTGGGCATCTACCTTTCCTTGGAGTGGTCTAGAAGACAGGCCAGTAGTTGAGTTCATGAACAGAGAGGAAGGTTCGAGAACTTCCTGAAATGTCTAGTCCTCCCTGCCTCTCTGGTGCTTGACCAAGGGCTCCTGAGCAGTTGTGTGCTAGTGGACTGCAGATGTGGTTCATGGGAGGCTGAGGAACTACGGGCTGAAACCCATGGTTTATATGGCCCTGTTTCTCTGTTCCTAGGCTTGCAGCCCCATCCCTAGCATCACATGGGAAAAATCTCCTCCAGATAGGTGGAGGACAGTCTGTCCAGGAGGCCCTGCATAGGCTAGAGTCTCCAAATGCCCAAGGACAGCCCAAGGGATACTTTTACTACTTATCCAACACTCCCCCAGCTTTTCTGATGCTGGTATCTCAAAGTCTGTGCATTCCATTCCTGATGCAGAAACCTTCAGCATGCCAGCCAGCCCCAGGGACAGAGTGACTCATCTGCCTACTTGGAGTCAGAGACCCAAATGGAGATCTGTCTCAGCTGAAGGACACAAGCTGAAAAGTGGCTGCCACATGTTCTCCGCTCTTTGCCATAGCCCAGGACCCGATGGCTTCCTTCTGCCAAGTCTCGCTGAGTAGTCTGTATATGTATGTTTGAATGCATGTGTGCACGCCTGTGTGTAAACATGTGTGATGGAGATGGAGCTGTTGGGTAGCGACAAGAGCTCCTGGGAATCTCCTGTTTTCTGTGTACAGGAGGGATCATGGACTACTTGGAGAAATGGGTATGGAGTCTGAGGCCCTGCCTTCTTAGACCTCCCAGTCCAGGGACGTCCCTCCCTGCTCATGCTCAGGCATGGACTATGGTGTGAGGTCAGAGGCACTGGCATTGGACTGGATTCTGGGCCCAGTGGCGTCAGTCAGGAGACGGGGATAGAAGGAGGACTCAGCTTTGTGTTCCTGTCCCATTCTGGCCCTGAGTAGTCTGAGCTTCTGCGTCCCCCCCTCCCCCTGGGCTCCTTTTGTTCCTCCATGGTGCCCTCGCTGTGTGATGGGGTGGTGATGCACTTTATTTCCTTGCAGTCTGCATTGCAGGCTGCGGAGCTTCGATCAGTTCGGAGACTTGACCTGGATGAGCGTACATTTCCTTGTGTGATGAACTCCGCATTGCCAGTGTTGTCTGGTCAGAGATGCAGTTCCGATGTTGTCACTTGTTGTTGTCTCCCAAAGTTAGAAGAAAATCCTCGAGTTCAGTACACCAAATACTGCCTGCACGCCTCCTGTTTTTCTTGGGTGCCATACCGTACCTGGGTGGGGAAGTGGGTGGGGTACGGGACAGCAAGCTCCAAGCCCAGAGGGTCATCCAGAGCTGTGCAGGCAAAGTGCAGCTTCAGAGCTTCCGTCTAGACTGTCCTTGACAGGACCACCACCCTCTGCTCCCCCTGACCAAGGGGGGGTAACAGTCGAGCCGGCCCTGAAGGTGGCAGTTATTCCTGTCCAGTATTCAGGGAAAGAAGCTGAAGCAAAGGTTCTCTTTCTTTCCAGGTCTGGACTCAATGTGTTTAATTCCAGTTGAACCTCGAGAGTGAGGCGAAATGCAACAGCGCTCTGCAGGCCCCTCTGTGACGCCCAGAGACCGGTCCCTCTGCAGCAGCAGGCGGTAAAGCCCTCACTGCCTTTTAGGCAGCAGCTTGCTAGGGACTCATGAGAAGATGAACCACCCACCACATGCTGGAGCTGCATGCTGTCGAAACTGACATGTGAGCACTCCATGGTATGGGTAAGGTGACGGGTTTTTTTTTGTAGAAATGAGAGAGAACAGTCAGAGGCATCTGGAAGAGTCTGAGGCAGGAGAGAAAGAAGTAGACTGAACATGGCCAGCAGACTGTACCTGGTCAGGGCAAGAGAGGAAGAAAACTGGGGGATAGGGAATAGAGAAGGCTTAGCCAGAGAAGCAGGAACATACCATACAGACATAAAGAGAACACAGCAAGAACAGCAAGCCGCATTAAGAAAAGAATGGTGATGGGCCAGCGAAGCCATTGAACTGGAAGGAGTGTAAGCGAGGGGAGGCTGTGAGAAAGGCTTGGATGCTAGCATGGATTTAGAATGTGTATCAGGTACTTGTGATACCTGCGTGCACTTTGTGATACCAGCATACACTATTTAATATGCTGGTAGGAACTACAGGTAGCCACGTGTCCCTTCTGCCAGAGATAAGGGAAGGACTCCTTTCAGGGGAGGGGAACCGGCTTCACAAGTTCCTGAGGAATGCTGGATCTTATCTAACACCCAGAAATCCTCCTGTAGTCCAGGTTGAGCTCATTTCCAGACGTTTGGACTACCATGTGGAGTTTAGAGAATTCCCTTGGACCTGAAAGATGCCTGCTTTTCGCTCGTGGCTTTATCTCAATTCTCTCAGAGCTCCATTCTGAGGGGTCACCAGAGAACCCTAGAGCTGAGGTGAGGTGGGCCTTAGCAAGAAGACAGGAGGCTTAGTTGGGATGAGGCTGGGAGAGGTCCGACGGCAAGGCTGTAAGAGACTCCCCTGGGAGGGCTGGGAAAGAAGCAGTCAGGAGGCCAGGAAAGGAAATATGAAGCTCAGATGCACTGTGGGAGACTAGAGAAAGTCAGAAAGTTTTTCTGAGAAGGTTTAAAAAAAGCCAAAGAAGCAAAAGAGGGGACTCAGGGGTGCTGTAGAGCAGGACGGGGGTATCTGAAGTGTCGAGCAGGACAGGAGACTCTGGTGTGTTTAGAGCAGGACAGGGGGCTGTGGGGTGCTGTAGAGCAGGGCGGGGGGATCTGGGGTGTTGTAGAGAAGGAGAGGAGGCTTTGAGGGTACTGTAGAGCAGGATAGGTGACTGGAGTGCTGTAGAGCAGGACAGGGTGCTCTTAGGTGCTGTATAGCAGGACAGGAGAATCTGGGGTGCTGTAGAGCAGGACAGGGGCTCAGGGTGCTAGAGAGCAGGACAGGGGCTCTGGGGTGCTGGAGAGCAGGCCTAGGGGCTATGGGGTGCTGGAGAGCAGGACAGGGGGGCACAGGGGTGGTGTAAATCAAAACAGGAGATTCTTGGGTACTGTAGAGGAGGACAAAAGACTCTGGGGTGCTGTAGAGCAGGACATGGGTCTCTGGGGTGCTGTAGAGCAGGGCATGGGGCTCTGGGGTGCTGTAGAGTAGGACAGGGGTATCTGAAGTGTTGTAGAGCAGGACGGGGGTATCTGAAGTGTTGTAGAGCGGGACAGGAGACTCTGGTGTATTTAGAGCAGAACAGGGTGCTCTCGGGTGCTGGAGAGCAGGACAGGGGACTCTGGGGTGCTGGAGAGCAAGACGGGGGCTCTGGGGTGCTGGAGAGCAGGACAAGGGGCTCTGGGGTGCTGTAGAGCAGAACAGGAGGCTCTGGGGTGCTGTAGAGCAGGACGGGGGGCTCTGGGGTGTTGTAGAGCAGGACGGGGGGCTCTGGGGTGCTATAGAGCAGGACAGGGGCCTCTGGGGTCCTGGAGAGCAGGACGGAGCTCTGGGGTGCTGGAGAGCAAGACGGGTGTATCTGAAATGTTGTAGAGCAGGGCGGGCGGCTCCGGTGTGCTGTAGAGCAGGACAGGTGGTTCTGGGTTGCTGTAGAGCAGGACGGGGGCCTCTGGGGTGCTTTAGAGCAGGACATGGGGCTCAGGGGTGCTGTAGAGCAGGACAGGACAGTCCGGGGTGCTGTAGATCAGAATAGTAAACTTCAGGGTGCTGTAGAGCAGAACAGGGGATTCAGGGGTTCTGTAGAGCAGGACGGGGGTATCTGAAGTGTTGTAGAGTGGGACAGGAGACTCTGGTGTATTTAGAGCAGGACAGGGGGCTTTGGGGTGCTATAGAGCAGGATGGGGGCTCTGGGGTGTTGTAGAGAAGGATAGGGGCTTTGGGGTGTTGTAGAGGAGAGGGGGGTTTGGGGTACTGTAGAGCAGGATGGGGAGCTCTGGGGTGCTGTAGAGCAGGACATGGGGCTCACGGGTGATGTAGAGACAGGACAGGAGATTCTGGGATACTGTAGAGCAGGACAGGAGACTCTGGGGTGTTGTAGAGCAGGACAGGAGACTCACAGGTGATGGAGAGAAGGACACGAGACTCTGGGGTGTTGTAGAGGATGACAGGAAACTCTGGGGTGCTGGAGAGGAGGACAGGATACTCTGGAGTGCTGTAGAGATGGATAGAGGGCTCTGGGGTGCTCTAGAGCAGGCCAGGAGACTCTGTGGTGCTGTCAAGCAGGACAGGAGTCTTTTCGGAGCTGTGTAGCAGGACATGAGATTCTGGGGTTCTGTGGAGCAGTACAGAAGACTCTGGGGTGCTCTAGAACAGAACAGATACTCCAGACTGCTGTGAGGCAGGACTGGAGACTGCACAGTGCTGTAAAGCAGGACAGGAGACTCTGGGGTGCTGTAGAGCAGGGTAGTGGACTCATGGGTGATGTAGACCAGGCCGGGAGACTTTGGAATACTGTAGAGCAGGACAGGAGACTCACAGGTGATGGAGAGCAGGATAGGAGACTAGGGGTGCTGGAGAGGGAGACTGGAGACTATGGGATGCTGTAAAACAGGACAGGAGACTCCAGGTTGCTCTGTAGCTGGACAGGAGACTCTGTGGTGCTGTAGAACAGAAGAGATGGCTCTGGGGTGCTGTAGAGCAGGAGAGGAGACTCTTGGGTGCTATGAAGCAAGAAAGGAGGCTCTGGGGTGTTGTAGAGAAGGACAGGAGACTCTGGGATACTGTAGAGCAGGATGGAAGACTCTGGGGTGCTGTAGAGATGGACAGGAGTCTTTGGGGTGCTGTAGAGCAGGACAGGAGACTCGGGTGCTATGAAGCAAGAAAGGGAACTCTGGGGTTGTATAGAGCTGGACAGGAGACTGGGTAGTTGTAGAGCAGGATAGGAGCTCTTGGGTGCTGTCGAGATGAATAGCAGACTCTCTGGTGCTCTAGAGCAGGACAGGAGACTCTGGGGAGCTGTATAGCAGGAAAGGGGTTCATGGGTGCAGTAGAGCAGGATGGTGAGCTCTGGGGTACTGTAGAGCATGATGGGAGCTCTGGGGTGCTGTTGAGCAGGACAGGAGACTCATGGGGGTGTAGCGCTGGACAGAGGGCTCTGGGGTGCTATAGAGCAGGACAGTAAAGTCTTGGATGCTGTGAAGCAAGACAGGGGGCTCTTTGGTGCTCTAGAGCAGGATGGGAATGTCTGGAATACTGTAGAACAGGATAGGGGACTCTGGGTGCTATAGGGCAGGACAGGAGACTCTGGGGAGCTGTAGAGCAGGATAGAGGCTCTGGAGAGCTGTCAAGAAGGATAGGGCACTCTGGGGTGCTCTAGAGCAGGACAGGAGACTTTGGGATGATGTAGAGGAGGACAGGTGTCTCTGGGGTGCTGTAGAGCAGGACAGAAGTGTCTGGGGTGCCGTAAAGCAGGACAGGGGACTCCAGGGTGCTGTAGAGAAGGACAGGGCTCTGTGGTGCTGTAGAGCAGGATAGCGGGCTCTAGAGTGCTATGAAGCAAGATAGGGAGACCTGGGGTGCTATAGAGCAGGACAGGAGGCTCTGGGTAGTTTTTTTTTTTTAATTATATATACAGAAGAGGGTGCCAGATCTCATTTCAGATGGTTGTGAGCCACCATGTGGGTGCTGGGAATTGAACTCAGGACCTCTGGAATAACAGTCAGTTCTCCTAACCTCTGAGCCATCTCTCCAGCCCGACTCTTGGTAGTTTTAAAGTAGGATAGGAGCTCTGGGGTGCTGTCGAGTAGGAAATTGGGCTCTGTGGTGCTCTATAGCAGGACAGTAGATTCTGGGGTGCTGTCGAGCAGGATGGGGGGCTCTGTGGTGCTGTGCAACAGTACAGGAGACTCTGCGGTGCTATTAAGCAGGACTGGAGACTCCAGGGTGCTGTAAGCAGGACAGGAGACTCTGGGGTGTTGTAGAGCATGACAGGGGGCTCACAGGTGCTGTAGAGCTGGACAGGAGACTCTGGGGTGCTATAGAACAGGTCAGGAGACTCTGGGGTGCTGTTACAGCAGGACAGTGTGCTCATGGGTGATGTAGAGCAGGACAGGAGAATTAGGGTGCCGTAGAGGGAGTGTGGATACTCTGGGATGCTGTTAAAAAAAAAGGACAGCAGACTCTGGGGTGCTCTAGAGGAAGGCAGAAGTGTAGAGCAATGTCGGAGACTCTGGGGTTCTGTACAGCATCAAAGAAGGCTCAGGGGTGCTGTAGAGCAGGATGGGGGGCTCAGGGGTACTGTAGAACAGG